CTCTCATCCATGCTGCCCTTACCATCGGGTTGTTTCCTGACTTCCCCTCCCAGCAGAACTAAGCACTGCCCCCTCCAGGAAGGCCTCCCCGCCTGCTTCACGGGCCTCCACTGTACCCATGGTGGAACTGAGGACGTGGGGAGAGTCTCTTCATCTTCTGCCCACAGCACCTGAGTACATGCAGCGCCTTTCTACTTCCACAGGTGTGGGTGGTGAAAGGCCTGGTTGAAGACCTGAAGTTCAAATCTCTGGCTCTTTTTACCAGCTGTGTGATCCTTTAGGTAACAGCTTCCATGGACCTGGGTTTCAGGCCTCTTTGATGAAGTTTTAAAGATTGGAGATACTGTCTACTAGGCACTTAGGACAGGTGCTGAACAAAGGACAGCTGTTAGCACTTGCCATCTATGCATGGTCAGCGGTACAGGCAGGTTACTCTAGGATGCTAACAAGGACGGACAGGCAGACGGTCAAATTTAGTAATATGTTCACTGAAGAAGCCAGAGAGCAGGTACAGGAGTGTTCTTCTTATGTCTGAATGTTTCTTTCAGCTCTTCTTATGTTTGAAATTTTTTATAACAAAATGTTGGGAAGAATTAGAGAGCTTATTCAAGTTGACATGAATCTGCAAATTAAGGAAGCAAGGACTAAGTTGTGTTGCTCATCTAGGGTGTTTTCAGGTTCAAATTCCACCCCATACCAGGTGTCTCTGCAGGATTCTGTGACTCAGGCAGACCAGTGTGGCCCTGTGGGGACAGTCACACATGCTGTAAACAGGTAAGACCCGTGTGGGGCCTGGTGTGAGTCCGTGTGGCACCCCGCATCCTCGCTCTCCTACACTTGTCATTCTTGATCTCCTGCTCCAGGGTTCTGCAGTCTGGCTTAGTGCTTACCCTGCCTGTGGATTGCTTTGCAGGCAGCAGTGTGCTCACGAGGCTCCCTTGGAGCCAGCAGACTCAGGGTGGCTCTGGGATTCTGTATTTCTAACAACCAAGGTCTCAGGCTGCTGTTGCTGCTGGGCACAGACTCTATGTGCGGTGAGCCCAGGGCCAGTGGCTCTCTGTGCTGGTGGCTCCTGAACACCCCCATGCCTCCCCATGCCCCCAAATCAAATCAGAATCTCTAGAGCTGGGCCCAGGGGTCGATGCCATTTTAGGGTCTCAAGCTGCAGCCCAGGCTGAGAACCTCAGCCCATGCTTTATCTCGCTTTTCTCCTCTAACTGCTGAGTGACTGCAATCGACGCACACTCCAGGAAAAGCCTCCTGATTGTGTCCCAGGTGCCAAGTACCTCAGTCCCACACGACCACCACACTGTGACAGGCAGATGGGAGCGAGCACAGCCCCGCCAGCCTGTAGCTATGCCAGGCCCAGCACATGGCTACTGCTAATCACACCTGCAATGCGGGAGGCAAAGGCGGCGGCCCTGCTGCCTGTGCCCTGGCACTGGAAATTCTCACTCACGTGCTCACCTGCAGGGCAGATCATCTGTCTTCCCCCACCACAAATGGGCTGATGGTGCTGGAGAAAAACCTCCAGACTTGAACTCTGACGTTTTCTTGGTTTCCATCCGAGTGTGATTACTTTAGGAAATCATACATTTGCTTATAAATTAATTGCAAGTCTGTATTTGGAAATCATACATACGCAGTTCCGTTATTTTATGATTTCATGTTTCTCTTTCACTATGAAGCCTCCGGGAAGAGCCAGATAGCTGACCTGGGAAGGACTACAGGTCCTGGAGAGCTGGGCTTGGTCAGCAGAAAAACTGCAGCAAAATGTCCGGTAAGCTTTGAGGAGCCCAGATCCGACCCCTATCCCTTCCACACAAGATGTGCACTCAGGCGACCCAGAGGATGCTAAGCACTCACAAAGCTGTTTTGGGAGAGGGGTAACGGCCCCCTGGGGAATACCAACAGGAAGTCAGAAGCGCGAGCATTTCCAGTCTCAGCTTTGGCCACTGTCGGCCCCTCTGCCCCATCGGGCTGTGGCCATCTCATTGCCCTCGGTAAAGCAGGGGTGGGAGGAAGGTCAGCTTTCTCGAAAATGCTGGGTCAAGATTTGTAAAGATCTGGTGGACACTTTAGAGAAGGAGTAAAGTCCATTAGATCAAAAGTACACGGACCCACATGGGAGTTCGAGCAGCTGTCCTCAGATTCTGAGCAACGGAACAGACTCTAGGAAAGAACCCCATTGAGGATGACAGGGCTTACTTCAAGACTCCATGGAGATAAGATTAAACATGCCGGGTTTTGGCTGTTACAAAGAGAGGAGTTCTACTCAGCTGCCTATGCCTTTGATGCCCAGGGCATCTCCTGGACTAAACCACAGAGCTGGAGCACGCGGGCCAGTGGCAATTCTAACACTGATGCAGGGTCGTCTGCCGCTGGGCAGGCCAGGCGCATCCAGGCTCCTGCCAGGGCTCAGCATTTGCCCCAGGCAAACTCAGAAGGTGGAAAGAGGTGCAGTGAAATCGATCGCTCACCTCCTAAAAGCACTGATGGCTCCAAATGCCTAGGAGATGGCCACACTAGTCTGTAAGTGGGCTAGTGAAATGCCAGCAAAAGAGAAGCAATAAACTCTGTCCCTCCCGATAGGACAGTGAACAAAAATGGCTCACAATCGATGTCCTTGAAAAAGCTAAGCGGGGAGGGCTGCAAATACCCTACCAGAAAGGCAGGCCCTGGCCTCTAGGCAAGCTATCCACCTTGTCCACCTGAGCACTCTTGTCTTTTTAGGACCAGAGCTGCAGGCAGTACAAGGCAGGAAACAGGCTCAGCATCCCAGTGAAACAAAGCACAAGATGAAAGTCTCCTGATTGCAACCCAGAGAGCTATTTAAAAAGGAAATGAGGAAATGTAACCCTCTCTGTAGGGAAAAGATCCCCTGACCTGGGGTGTTACCTAACCGGGCACAGATGCAGTCCAGGGGCCTGCCTGGCATCTGCCCTAGCACTGCACCTACTATGGGCCGCCTGCCTCTCGGTTCCAGTGGCCATGACTCAGAGAGGCTGGCCACATCCACATCGGCTCTGGGGCATCTCACCCTGCTGTCAGGCTGGGGCACAGAGCCAGAGAGCTGGGCCCAGCACCGTTGGAACCACTGGGGAGGAGCCCCTCCTTGACCTAGAGCTCGAGGTTGAGTGATCTTAAGCCTAGAGCTGCTTGGGCCCAACCTGCCATCAGTGAGAAGGGCTCGAAGGAAGAAAGAGCCTAGTGGAGGTCGGGGCAGATCCCCATCAACTTCCTCCAGCCACCTTGGCCACATGCGCTGAAACCCAGGGCCTTTTTGGTTATACGAGTAATAAATTCCTCGTATAACCTGAGCCAGTCTGGGAAGGGTTTCTGTCCCAGTGAAAAATCCCTGATGTCTGTTTCTTTCCCCCTGATCACACCTGTTTTGATGCATTTCTTATGAGCGTCTGTATCATCTCACACAGCATGTATGTGCATATGCAACCAATCAATCTGGCAATTCTTTCCGAGATTTCCAAGTGTGCCAAAGAAGGGCCTGGGGGAAGACACTGGGCTCTGACCCCGGAGCCTGTGTCCTTGCTGCAGAACTCAGCCAAAGTACAGCTCTTGGTGCGAGGAATCAAGGCTTAGCGCCAGGAGCACCCCTCAGGGCAGCTGAGATCTTCCAAGGGCTGTTGTGCCCACGTGAAGACCTCGTCCCTTCGCAGCCTGCTTGGGCACAGGTGGGGGCTGCCCGATAGCAAGGTCCCTCTTCTCAGATGGAAGCAAGGGCTGGGGTGAAGCCAGGCTGGCACAAGTCTTCCAGAAAACAAACACAGTGAGGCAGGCCCCAGGCTGCAGTGTGGACTACAAGAACGCACTTCCACATACCCAGTCTCTTAACGGGCAGCAAAGCAACCCAGGCCACTGTGATATGCAGAGGCAGCCTGATGCACTAGGCCTGGGGCCTGTCCTTGCTCTGTCTCCAACCAGAGTCCCCTCCTTATCCTCTCCAGGCTTAACCCTGTCACCTGTCAGGGATGATGCCATCGAAACACGGGATTAACAACTAACTACGTCTTCTACTCTTCTGCCAGGACAGTTGCCAAAGCCCATTCACACCTGCAGTCCATTTGTTCTTATCACCATCCTGAGTGAGGCAGGCATCGTGCCTACTGTACATGGTTTGGCACAGGTCTGGGTCAGGTCTGACTGGCTCTGGCCCTCACCAGGCCTCTCATGTGGACAGGGGTGCATGGGTCCACTTCAGTGACCCAGAGCAGAGACCAGCCGCAATGTACTTAGTACCAGGTCCAGCAGGCCCAAGGGCTCCATAGTGTTGAGTTTCATCATCATGCTTGCAAGAAGAAACCTAGGCCCTTGGTGGTAGCAGCCTTGCCACGCATGATGGCTGCCAGGAAGTAAGGGGCACTCCCCAAGCAAAGATCAATGACCAGCTGGGGACAGGGAGGGTCACATGAATGGGAGAAAGCAGATCTGCCCAGGATCCCTGCATGCTGCCACCTGCTCAGCACTTAGCCCCTCTGCATGTTCCGTGGCCTTTCCATGTGAGCTGCACAAGTTGAATTCAAGTGAATGTCTTGGTAAACAAAGCCAGCTTCACAAGAGTTCTATGCTAATCTCATGACACAGATGCACTTTTGCGAAGCCAAACTTATGTGGAGAGGGCGGGACAGGGCATCAGTGCCCTGAGATTTGAAGCAACAGCCAACAGGCACATGGACTCAGGCCTCCTGGGCCTAAATCCTGGCCCTCCACTTTCTAGCCCTGTAACTTCTCTAATTTTGTTCCTCTGTAAACACAGTATCTAATGCACCACGTTGACATGTACAAGGCTCTTAAACAGGGACCACGACACAGCAACTGCAAGACTCGGTTGTTACCTGCCTGGTGACCTGAGAGAGCCCCTGATCTGTTCCCACTGAGCCATGCCAAGGGTCGCTCTGCTTGTCACAAAGCCACAAGGATGCCCCCAAGGCTACAGTGAGTTCATCACTGGATTCAGCATGGACAGGGCACAGTGTCCTTACCTGTAGGTCGCCACCTCCAGGCTGAGGCCAGTCTTCACTCGCACAAGCTCCTGATAGTCCCTCAGTCTCTCAGCCATGGCCAAGGTGAGGGCCTCCTTCTCATCCTCCAGGCAGTCAATCACCCTCTTAAGAGAACAGAAGTGTGTTTAGATCCAAGTACTTTATGGGGTTGAGCTGAAGGTACCAATACTGCAAGAAATAAAAAGTGATGAAAAACCTCCTGGCGTATTACACATGCACTCACTGGCAAGGATGGTTTCAAAGACTGTTTCTCTTCTGTATGGGAGATTTTTTTTTGTATAGTACTTGGAAGATTTGGACAGAACACTTACTTCTCTGGACTTTCTAGTAATAATGAATGCTAAAGAGTTTGTTCAGATCATCTGTACAGTTTAGACTCTGGTATACCTAACTGGTCAACAAGATGCTGTTGAAAATAAGCCATGACTACATTTCAGAGGATTTTACAATACTTGAGGCAGAAGTCACTGAGAATTGAACTAAAATTGCTCCCAAAGTCATTATTTCCCCCATAATACACAAGTAAACAGATACAGAATTCTTTATATCATCCAGAAAAGCTGCTTTAAAATCATCTCGGGAGAAATATATTCAAGTAGAAATGAACAAACTCAAACTTGGATATAAACCTTCTTTTCGCATCTACTTGCACAATGCAGTTAGCATCACTCCCTGGTACTTCTTCCTGGCCCCCACACCGGTTCATCACCTCCATTTCTCCAGCTATTCCTGGCCAGGAGACGAAGCTGCCCCGTATCCAACTGTGTTCTCTCTGAATGCCATGAACTAAACGAAGCCACGCTTACAAACACTTGTCACTAGAGAATTAAAAAACTGTAAGACTACTGAGAGGGAATATGTTTTCCTCGCTGCTGGAATCTGGCCACCAGAAGCACCTCACAAGATTCTGAGGGTCCACAATAAATCTGTAATGTCTGTAGAAGGAATGGACTTGACCACGACCTCACCCCGGATTTATTACTTTCAAATGCATAATCATCATGCAAATCGCTCTGCTTTCTATAGTAGCTCCATTCCAAGCCAGTGGTTGTGTTAGGGTCTCTCTGTATAAAAGGGTGCTAAGCCCACTTAGCTTAAAGCAAAGAAGTAAGTTTAAGAACCACTGACAATGGTCCCAGAGTGGAAACATTAACCTCCAAAGCTGGCACAAAGAGCAGATAATGTAGTTCACCAAAGCAGACCACTTGCCAGACTGGATTTAAGTGACAGAGATATATCTATGACATTCACACATTCTATAATTAAGTCTCTATGTTAAAATCTTATGTTCCCCTGTTTTAAATTCAGGTAGAAGGTCAGAAATATATATATATATATA